ACAGATAGACAGACAGACAGAAAGAGAGAATGCTAGACAGACAGCTACAGCTTAATAACATCATGTAGAAAGTTTTTACCTGAAGTGGCTATCGAACCTTTGAGAAGAATACTGAAGGAGTGTTTGTCCTTCCTTCCTTCCTTCCTTCCTTCCTTCCTTCCTTCCCTCATTTTCTCATCTATCTCTCTTCCTTTCTCTCTCTCTTCCTTCTTCCTTCTTCCTTCCTCTTACACGGTCTTCCCTTCTGCTTTTTTCTTATTTCCACATCTTCTCTTCCCTCCCCCATCCTCATCCTCACTTTTTGTATCTCTCCTCCCTCCTCTCTACCTCACCTCCTCCTCCTCTCTACCTCCCCTCCTCCTCCTCCTCTCTACCTCACCTCCTCCTCCTCCCTCTCTACCTCACCTCCCTCCCTCTCTACCTCACCTCCTCCTCCTCTCTACCCTCACCTCCTCCTCCTCCTCTACCTCTCCTCCTCTACCTCTCCTCCTCCTCCTCTTCTCTTACGCTCATTTGAAAATTTCCTTTGCCTGTCATGTGTGGCCGCGAGTGAAGAGCTTAGAGAATTTTATTGTCACTGTTGGAAGACCTGGTATTGTTGTTGTTTGCTGCTGCTGACGGTATTGTTGTTGTTTACGTGTTGTTTACTGCTGTTGACGGTATTGTTTACAGGGTGTTGTGTGCTGCTGTTGACGGTATTGTTGTTGTTTACGTGTTGTTTACTGCTGTTGACGGTATTGTTTACAGGGTGTTGTGTGTGCTGTTGACGGTATTGTTTACATGGTGTTGTGTGCTGCTGTTGACGGCCGGTATTGACGTTTTCTATTATTGGTAATGATTGGCTCAGGAGGTGAAGCCTCTCTCTAAGGCCCTGGTTGTGGGTTTTCCTGGAGCTGGTTGTTGTAGCAGCTGATGGTTGTTGTAGCGAGTGTAGTGTTCTTGTAACTATCTACCCTTAAGCGGCTGGATGTCCCGTCAACTTCATCTTTTATTAACAAGTTTCTTCAGGCTCCGGTTGTTCCCTGACCTGACTTATTAAACGATATGTCCACCAGTCTGTCCGGGCTCAAAGCTCAGAAGCCTTTTATTGTAGTAACGTGTAGTAAAAGTAGCTGCTGTTCCAAGTTCTGATAATCCTTGGAATTATTTTACTAGGACCTGGTATTTCAAGACCTGGTATTTCAAGACCTGGTATTTCAAGACCTGGGTTACACAGAGGCAGCCACCACCACCTGGCCAGCCGCACAGTAGGTCACAGTGCCTCGTGTCCGGGTTAAAGACACAGTCGTTCATAGTTTTTACGTCAGTTTGTGGTGCATGAAAGACCATGTTAGACTCGTACCACGGCCATGTTCTCAACACTTTTCAGCTCATTCTCCACCTCTCCTGACTTGACGATGAACTTTCCGTTTGGTTCTGTCTTCAAGAGCAGCTTAACGCAGCAAGGGACTCAACTCTTCATGTTTGATGTTGTTTATCTCGTCAAACCTAACCTAACCTTACCTAACCTAACCTAACCTAACCTAACCTAACCTAACCTAACATGACCTAAACTGACCTGAGGGCTACAGTCGTTGTGTTTCTGTTTACATTCAGCCATCAAACTGTAACCTGATCCCCAATTTACTGATAAAGGCGATATTACACGGGTATGCCTCCCTCACCTCACCTCTGTGGCCCCTGAGAGAGAGAGAGAGAGAGAGAGAGAGAGAGAGAGAGAGAGAGAGAGAGAGAGAGAGAGAGAGAGAGAGAGAGATGTGACCTGAGGAAGATGAAAGTCTCTATTGATTTCCGGGTCAAAGGTCAGGCAGGGCTGTGTGTGGTGGTCAGAGTCATGGCTTAATATGGCTTTTTCACAGGTCCTTTATATTCAAGGAGAGGGAATATTTCTTATGAATATTGAGGTCAGAGGTCAGAGGTCAGAAGTTAAAGCCGAAGAGGTCATGGAGGAATTTTGCTGTTATTTTCTTATATTAACTTAGAGAGAGAGAGAGAGAGAGAGAGAGAGAGAGAGAGAGAGAGAGAGAGAGAGATACTTGTGTAGATGATGAGAAGAGAAAAAGAAAAATCCAGTTCACTTAAGAATCAAATCCATGTAAATTTTATGCCAACAGCCAGACTGAGTAATGTGAGGAAGAACTACACTTGAAGAGGTTACAGAACTCGGGAGGAGAGACCGCCATGTACAGTGTTAATATAATGATAAAAAAAAAGTATTGCTGAATTAGGAGCCTTTGTGGTGCTGTTGTCACTGAATCTAGTATGTTAATTTACCCCCAACATGATTAATGATACATGAAGTGACTGTGTGTGTGTGTGTGTGTGTGTGTGTGTGTGTGTGTGTGTGTGTTGTGTGGCACAGAGTTGGCGGGTGGCTGCGCGTGCGTGCATGCGTAAATATGAGTTGATGGCTGGAGGAATGCCTTGATGTGAGTTAAGAGATGTATGAGTTAACGTACATCCTGTCCATTAAGTGTGTGTGTGTGTGTGTGTGTGTGTGTGTGTGTGTGTGTGTGTGTGTGTGTGTAAGACTTAAATCAATAATACAATAATTAACACATCCAGTATTCTCTTGTGTTGATGTGTGTGTGTGTTTGAGTAATGTTCACTAATTTTGTCTTGTACTGAAGCACCCGGCGTCTGAATCACTGAAGCACACGGCGTCTGAATCACTGAAACACACGGCGTCTGAATCATTGAAGCACCCGGCGTCTGAATCATTGAAGCACCCGGTGTCTGAATAACTGAAGCACCCGGCGTCTGAATCACTTGTGTGGTGTTGACGAATTGTTTCCTTGGCTGAAGATAATGTGTTTTAAAGCCGCTACCTCCTCCAGAAAATCTTTGGGAGGGATTCTGAGCAACACGAGACGTTTTCTTTGGTGGAATTTCACTGAGAGAACACGAGATATATGGAGCATTACGAATTCACTAAAGGTTTCCGAAGTTCATCATCGTATTTCAATTAACACTCAAGCGGTTCTGGCAGCTTCAAGTAGCATCAGTATCAATGAAGTCATCTCAGTAATATCAAGTTTATTCTAAAAGTACCAGCAGTTTCCAGTATATGATGCACCTGGAAGCAGAGAGACGATTCCGGTATCTCCATTGAATTTCCAGCAGCACAAAGAGCAATTCCGGTGTATTGACAGTACTCCTGATAGCATTAAGACATTCTCGGGGCATCTCCTTGCAGTTTCCAATAACACAAAAGACTTTTACAATATCCACGTGACATTCCTATAGAGAAGTCCTTCCAGTATCATTGAAGTTCCTGGAAACACGGAGGAGCTTCCAGTATCCATATAACATTCCTATTAGAAACGTCTGTGCAGTATCATTGAAATTCTTTGCAAACACAAAGGCTTTTCCACTACCCACTTAGGACCCGTGTCAGAAAAGTCCTGCCAGTATCATTAAAACCCTCTGGAAACAAAGGTATTTATAATATCCACAGACAACTGCTTCCAGGTTCCAGTACCAATGATACGTAATGGACACATAGCGGCGTTTCCAGTACTTGAGTCAACCAAGATGGCCTACTAGTCTGAAATATTTCGAGTATAAACAGAACGTTATGAAATATTGCACTTAACACCAAAGCTTTCCCAAGTTTTAAGCTTGGGCTTAAAGACCGGCTCCAAGACGTTTCTCCGTACAGTAAAACATTTCCACTCGCGTCATGATACTTACCTCCCAGTAAGGATGTTTCCTGGTGTATGTAAGGCACTTGCTGTTGGATCATGGTATATCCTGTTGCATTAACCTGTTTCCTGGTTCACCATGATGCTTCCAGTAACATCAGGGGGTTTCCAGTATGTCTGTGGAGTTTCCGATTACATAAAGATGGATGTAAGTCGCTTCATGGAGTTTCCAGTAGCACCATAGAGATTCCAGTATCACTTACGGTGTTCTCAACAACATCATCATGATATCCAATAGCACTAAGTCGTTTCCAATAGCACTAAGGCTTCCTCAGGATTCCCGTGGAATTCCCAATAGCACTTTGGCATTTTCAGTTACCCCAGGCAATATAGTTTTTTCTCCAAGTGGGTCAAGATCTTTTCAATAACACCAAGATCTTTACAATAACACCGAGATCATTTCAATAACACCAATATCTTTACAATAACACCGAGATCATTTCAATAACACCCCTATACTTTCCAGGAGGATCGAGAGGGCTTCCAGTAGGCCTTCACTTTTCGCCTCAGGGTTGAGCTTGGTGTGCCCTCGCTGACTTATAAGTAACGCTGTTTCTTTGGTATTATTACTACAGCTTTAGGCTGTCTCCAAGATGCAAATGCCGAGCTTTACTTTTCTCCTCAGGGTGAGAAAAAAAGAAAAAGTCTATTGTTGGCATTTCTGTGGTAGGTGGACGGACACCGCTCATACCTCTGTTGTGTTCGTCCGTCTAATGCGACTCTTGACTTGAGAGTTCTTGTGTAAAATCAGAGGAGGATTGTATTATTATTATTATTATTATTATTATTATTATTATTATTATTATTATTATTATTATTATTATTATTATTATTATTATTATTGGCTGCGCTAAAGTGAGTCCAGTATTCGTCTTTCTTGACATGACAGATTATTTTTTGTTTTTGTTGTCCTGTGTTTTGATCAACCTAGTGACCGCCATTTTTGTCCCCAGTCTGATGGAAGTATTTGTGTGTGTGGGGGGGGGGGGATCTTGTTTTGAAGGCCTCCATCATGCTACCAACGCCTACTGTAGTGATGAGGTAAACATTGGAAGCTGGTTAGTCAGTTCTGTGTTGTATATTGGAGCTGTTATGTGATTTTAAAGTTGATATTTTTTGTCATTATTGATACATTGGAGACTACTTTTGACTATTAACTAAGTGTGACTACTGGAGACTACGTGTGACTATCGGAGATTACGTATGACTATTGGAGACTACGTGTGACTATTGGAGACTACGTGTGACTATTGAGTGATAATATCTAACGTGTCCATGTTATCTTATCATCCTCAGAGCGGGAAGTCAGGGGGGTACTACATGACCCACTCCTACCCCCCAGGAGCACCGCAGCCCAACGCCGGGGTGGCGCCCATACCCAGGGGACCAAGACCTCCCTACCCCGCAGGTGAGTTACTCCTTTACTTTATACCTGTTATCTATGTGTTGGGGAGTCTTGGTGATAGTGGTGATGCTGTTGGTGGTGGTGTGGTGATGCTGGTGTACTGATGGTGTTGGTGAGAGAATGGTGGTGTTGGTGAACTGGTGTTGCTGGTTATAGTGTGGTGGTGATGCTGTTGGTGGTGGTGTGGTGATGCTGGTGTACTGATGGTGTTAGTGAGAGAATGGTGGTGTTGGTGAACTGGTGTTGCTGGTGATAGTGTGGTGGTGATGATTGTGTGGTGGTGATGATTGTGTGGTGGTGATGTGTTGCAGGCTTGGGTTTAAAAACAGACTTGTGCACTGAAATGCAAATGCTTAAAATAAATCAAATGTAACTTCAAATGTTATCAGACACAGCCAGACGCCCCGTGAGGTGTGAGCCGGGGTGTGAGCCGAGGTGTGAGCCGGGGTGTGAGCCGAGGTGTGAGCCGAGGTAATCACTCCTCTCAACCGCCGCCGCTATAGGACCGGGTCAGTCTGGTGGCCGCTGACCTTGTGAGGTGTTACCATGACGAGTGGAGCAGATTTGGAATTTGGGATTGTATATTTAAATGCAAATACAAACACAAGTACAGACCAGATGACATTTCTGTATGCAAATGTATTTGAATTTGAACCCAAATGAGGCGTGGTGGTGTTAGTGTGGTGATGGTGGTGTTGGTGTGATGGTGATAGAGTTTGTGGCATGATAGTGGTGTTGATGCAGTGGTGGTAGTCTTAGTGGGGTGGTGATGCCCGTATGGTGTTGCTGTAGTGGTGATAATGTTAATTTTCGGTTGATGTTAGTGTGATGAAGATGATAGTGTGGTGATGATGGTGGTGACTTAGTAATGATGGTGACATGGTGGTGGTAGTATGGTGATGATGAGGTATGATGGTGATAGTGACTTGGTAGTGATAGTGAGGTATGGTGAATGTATGGTGACGATGGTGTCTTGTTATCTCCTAAAACTATCTGGCTCTTTATTTTAAACATATCTGGCTCTAGTTTAAGGATCTGGCTCTGTTGTAAGGATATCTGGCTCTAGTTTAAGGATCTGGTTCTAGTATAAGGATATTTGACTCTAGTATAAGGCTATCTGGCTCTAGTATAAGGATATATGGCTCTAGTATAAGGCTACCTGGCTCTGGTGTAAGGATATCTGGATCTATTTTAAGGATTTGGCTGAGGAAGGAGACTCAGTATAAGGCTCTTGCTTCCTAGTATACATACCTGACTCTAGTGTAAGCATCTGGCTCTAAACACCTGATTCTAGTTTAAACATATGGCTCCCTAGAACTGACATAGGGTGTGTCCAATACCTCTGCCCCCCCGCATGTGAAAACCTGACCTTTTGTGGCTCTGTAATAGACAGTTCAACTTATATGCAACAAGACATCTTTTTCGTGTGCATCAGATTTTACTATGCAACATAAATTCCCTTTTTTTATTAGTATGTAACAAACAGATTTCATGTCAGACAGATTTTTTTCGCATGCAACTGATGTCGTGTTGGTAGAATACTTCCTCTCATTGCAACAGACAGATATTTCCTCGTGTGGCATAGACGTATTTCTGTCTTTATCATGCAGATTTTCATTTACAGTAAAGAAGGATTTCGTATGCAACAAACTGGGTGTCGTACTCATTGAGATTTTCTTTTGTAAACGTAATTGACAGAATTATGCAGGAAACCGATTTACATACGCCTTGGAGACCATCTTTTGCTATAATCTGGTTTTTAAAATATATTTTTATCAACATGACACCGATTTTTGGGTTACATTGACCAGATTTTTGTAACAAGAAGACAGAGATATACTGACACGCAATAAATAAATTTCCATACTCAGTAAACATAAGTAAACGTACAACACACCCCATCTCTGTAACAAATTGCACAACGTAAAATTCAACACACCGATATGCAACAAGGCTAACCTATTTTACAGGCAATTGTCTTTTATGCAATGCCGATATTGCAACATATTCATTTTTATGTAATCTTGATATGAAATAAACTGAATTTAGTTTGGTTAGGTATTATCTATGTTAGGTTTATGTACAGTCGCCTGCACTTATACTTGGTATAGTGGCTGGCACATTTTGTGAGATGTGGCAGCACCGTATTTGTTTACATCGTATTAAAACTCCCGGGATGGTCCTAAAGAACGTCACAATACTAACCAGACTAAGGACGCTAGATAAGCATTCCACAGTGATGCCACATCTCACATTACGCACCAGCTTCTGTACCAGGTAGAAGTGTAGGCGACTGACTTACTCTACCTTCATTCACGTGTTTGGCCCAGGTGCCACTTCTGCCCGTCCTGGCCATTCATTTTCCCGATAGAGGAGCAACTTGAGTTATGATTGGTAGAGGTAAATATAAAATGTAAAAGAGTGAGGAACAGGGTCATATATCTCACGGTGTAGGGGCGTAACATCTCACCTTATTTATGGCCGGGTCTGAGACGCTTCTGAGACGTGTTTACAAACTCCCTTGATGTTTGTGTTTACAGAGTGACTCGAGAGGGTTACACAGGCAGGATATTTAGATGTGTAGTAGTATCATAGTGTGTGTGTGTGTGTGTTTTAAGACTTCCACCAGGCGCTAAGTAAACACAGAATCAATGGACTCTGTAAACATTAAAAGGACTATCTGAACCTGTACATCCTGGGAGTTAAATGCTATCGTGGTGGAGTGGTTATCGTACTGAGCTGACAGCCTAAGTTGTCCTGCGTTCTAATCTTCACTGAGGACGTAGAGTGTGTGTGATGGATAGGTTCCGGTGAGAGCTGTTGCTGCTGTCAGTCATGTTATCTAAGCTCAGTCACATCAATTACCCGCCAAAAATGATTAAATCGAACTGCAGTGTCAAAGGTATATTACTTAACCCTTTGACTTCTGGAGAGTTAAACCATCGGTCCCGAAGGATTAAACCATTGTCATCAAAAGTTTAAGCCATCGTCGTCGAAGGGTTAAAACATCGTCCTCAAAGGGCTAAACCATCGTCCTCAAAGGGTTTAACCAGTGTCTCAAAGGGTTAAAACATCGTCCTCAAAGGGTTTAACCAGTCTTAGTTTGTGTTCGACACTTATATGTAAAGTTGGCTTTACTAAAATAAGGTAAGAGACAAGTTTTCCTTCGCTCCTAAACCCGCTATTTCGAGGAATTGTTGTGTTGAAGAAAAGTTGTAGCTGACCTCAGGAAAACCTTGTCTTCACCCCTGGAATTGTCATGGACGCAGTGTGGATTTTGTCCTCAATTTTCCTCCTCAAAGTCCAGCCACCACCAAGCTCCATGTTATCTTGTTCAGGTACAGTTAGCTTCTTCTCCTGAACCACGAACCCTTGAAAGATTCAAACTCATGAACCCGAAACAGAATAAGGTATCAATCTACGGATTCATTTCTTTTGTCCAATTACCAAAAGTACTTTCTCCCCTTGACACGATAGATAAACGTGCCAGTAACCCCGTCTGTAACTATCTCGAGGCGCTTATATCACAAATGTGGTTAGAGATACAGACATTTTTTTTTTCAACTAGCTCGCGGTACTTGACGGCTGGCACACATGGCTCTTGCTGGGGTCGCCTCGTAAATGTTGTTGAGGCTCGAGTGCACCCTTCACTATCTGTGTGTGTGTGTGTGTGTGTGTGTGTGTGTGTGTGTGTGTGTGTGTCAGGTACCTCACCCACTTCATGTCTTGGTGTATGCTGGTGTCGTGTCGTATATACATAACACACATACAAATATACGTCCAGATTTCATCGCTTTAAACTTGTCTGTAGTAAGATACATAAGACTTGTGTTGGGTGGTGTATGACCCTGCCAGCTGAACCTTCCTAAATCTAAAGCAACAACAACAAACTTAAGAACGCGAGGTTAAATAAACGTGAGGAAGACTGATACTCCCTCACTGAGCATCTGTCTGTCTGTGTGTTGGTTTATAAGAGTCTTCTGTATCTCATGAAGGAGTACAGACAGTGACAGGCAGCCTTCAATACCGTGTTTAGTGCATCAGTGAACAAAGGTATTCTGGTGACTTGATTCCTTCAGGTCATCGATGTTGGACCTTTTAAAGTTTTTTTGTCACTGTCCTCCACATTAGCCACACCTCTCGCATGCTACAGCACATCACACACTGTGCCTTCAAATACGAGAGTGGCGGTGTAATTATTGCAGGAAACTGTCCGTGGTTATATTTGCGTCGCTTTGATGCATTGTTTACAAATGTTGCAGAAAATGGGAAGGTACCAAGATGAAGGAGGACACTTGAGTACAGCGACACAGCCCCATTAACTATAACAGTTGCTGCGTAGCGTCATAACTCCACCACTGTGTGAGTGTCAGTGAGTCACATGCTGGGGCCGGGGCTTGGCCGAGTGAGGGCCGGGGCTTGGCCGGGTGAGAGCCGTCATCCTCTCGTGACGACAGTGTAAACTATAGAGATGCCCACCGCCCTATGAGACGTACCCCCACACCTGATGCTGGGTGGGGTCATAGGTCACCCAGGTGTTGTGTGTGGAGTCAGAGGTCATCCAGGTGTTGTGTATGGGGTCAGAGGTCACCCAGCTGTTGTGTGTGGGGGTCAGAGGTCACCCAGGTGTTGTGTGTGGGGATCAGAGGTCACCCAGGTGTTGTGTGTGGAGTCAGAGGTCACCATATGTGTGATGGTAGCCAGGGGTCACCAGGTGTGAGAGGGTCACTATCCTGGTTGTGGAGACAAGAGATGGCATCTAGTTGTTGTAGAGTCTCAGTGCAGTTATGACGCCATGTTGTTGTTTGTGTGGAAGCTTAGTGAGCCAGTTAGCTGCTTTCTCACCTGCCTAGTTAGTGGCAGTACAGTAGTATGTAATAATCGGGATCCTGACCAAGCACATGACAGATGTTGTGGTGTCTGCAGCAGGGGGCGTGGCACCCCCTAAACCTCAGCGGTACGCGGGCGCTCCGGGCGGGCCGGCGGGTGGGCCCCCAGGGCTGATGGGCATGAAGGGCGGCTTGCGGCCCTCGGCACCCCCACCCGGACCGCCCACGGGGCCTCCTGACGGCCCACGCCCACAACACATGGCGCGCTCCTACTCCTCCTACTCCTCCTCGCCAGAGAGACTCGACCTCCTGTACTCCTCGCAGGGTCAGTGCCACCTCCCTTATGGCCACCACTAGTACTCTTCAGTGCCAGCCTGGCCCCCCTCCCCGTGCATGACCTCCTGGCCACCCTCCCCGTGCATGATTCTCACCACTCCTCCCTGGTTCCCTCCCCCTCCCCGTGCATGACTCGCCGCTCCTCCCTGCCCCTCCCCGTGCATGACATCACCCACCACATAGTTAACAAGAACTCATCTCCAGGTACACATCCATATACCCCGACAGAGCGACAGTCATAGAGAGAAAGAGAGAACTATTTCACTTCCAGCATGCCAAGGGCCTCGCCACCACCACCATCATCACCCTGAGGCCCTCACTGATGCATGATACAATGTACCTGTCATCTTGCTGCTGCTCTCAGCTCAGCTCAACTTCTGCCAAAATTTTTGCAAAATTTCTTAATGTTTTTTTACACTTTTTTCCAGTTGATTCACAGTAGTATTAAGGGTCACTCACGGGGCACACTGCTGACCCAGTGTGTTTACTGGAGACGTTAATAGTGTGTTTGCGGGACCAACAACTACCTGTGTTATGGCACCTGTGACCCTTTAAGGTGACTCTTGGTACAAACAATCACCTGCGTTCGCGAAATATATCCTTGTTTGTTTGTATCGTCAACCCAGATGAACTGTTGTTTAGGGTTCACCTTAATGGTTCACCGGTAACGTAACACAGGTAGTTGTTGGTCCCATAGACCCTACATTAACGCCTCCTGTGGTGTGCCAATTATGGAAGTAACGCTTTAAGCTGGTGAGTGTGTTCCTCCGCGCGCACACATCTAGTGTCAAAACAAAGGAAGATAAATGAATGCACCAGAGGGAAGGTTAGGGGAAAGGGGAGGGATTTTTTACCCTCAAGTAAAAAGGACAAACGTATATTTAGGGGAAAAGGGGAAAGAAAAATTAGATTGTTTACGCCAGTGTGCCTTGGGTGATAGGATGGCCTGATTGGGTAACTTTGTTTCCTACGTCAGATGTACCTCCTGCTTATTGGATGGCTTCAGAGATATACTCTACCTCCCGATTGGCTAGATTTGTCAGTGACGTCAGAGATTGGCTAGATTTGGTTTGTCGGCAATGATGCACCTCATGATAGGCTGGAATAGACAGTGGCATCAACGATACTCTTTATTGGCTAGAATTGCTAGAGTCGTCATGTATATAAAGTACCTTCTGATTGGTGTGATTATCCATTAACTCAAGGAAACACCTCCTTATTTTTTGGCTAGATTTGTCTGTGACTTCATGGACGTCAGAAATAGCTCCTGTTTGGCCTTTGTGTCAGTGGCGTCAAAACTAACTCCTGGTTGGCTAGATTAATTAGTGACGAGAGTTTTATTTCTAAGATGACCTTCATCTTTTTTGTGATGTGACTGGTGCTTTGTGATTGGTCGATATTTCATCCAATAAAAAAGACTTATCATTAAGTCATTCGAGGTCACCTGATGTACCCGCTTCAGGTGACCCAATATACGTACCTTAGCTCTCAGTATCCACTCCAGTTAATTCAGTATCCGCACTCCAGTCGTATACATTAATTATGTTTATTGTGCAACTTACCCGCAGTGTAGTTAACTTATATCCGCACCCCACATAGTACACTCATCCGCAATTCTGCAACCGCAAAAAACTCACATATCCGCACTGTTGTTACCTCACATATCCGCACTACACGTGACTTATCCGCACATCAGTATACCGCACGTATCAGCTCTTGAGCTTACGTTCACCACACCTGTCCATCACAATGGACCACCACACCTTTCAACCACACCCGTCCACCACACCTGTCAACTACATTCATTTACCACACCTTTCACCCACTCCTGCCCACCACCACACCCGTCCACAACCACACCCGTTTACCACCGCACCTGTCAACCACACCCATCCTCCGTACCTATCGCCCAGCACACCTGTCCATAGAGTGCTCCCCCCACCCCCTGGCCGAAAGAGTTGGCCCAGTCCAGGACACAGTGATGGTCGGTCGAGTCATCTCAGCGCACACCAGAGAGGAAAATAAATAAATAAACTCCTAAACATTTGCCTTGCCACAGGACTCAACCCGTGTCTCTTGAGATCTATCAACAGTTTCGGACGCTTATCACTGTATCTGGAGATTAGTAAAGGGATTAATTAGGGATTAATGAAGGTATTAAGGTATCATAATCCCAGAGACTTGTTTACGATGCCAGGGATTACAACATCTTGGCGAACGAGTAAGAAACAAAAATTGCAATGGTATTTTCTCTTTCAATGCAACAGGATTTTTGGATTTTTTTTTGTGTTTATAGGTTTAAAAGTTGGTATAACACACACACACACACACACACACACACACACACACTACCTTTGAGGCCCTTAACACAACTCCCTAAGTCAGTGATATATCCATCCTCATAACTTCACTTACGAGAAATATTACGTCTTAGGAAACTTTGAGAAGCAGAGATTAGGTGAGGTTAGGTAAGGTGAGGTGAGGTTAGGTTAGGTAAGGTTAGGTGAGGTGAGGTGAGGTTAGGTTAGGTGAGGTGAGGTGATGTTATTGACGAGACAGAATCTTTGTGACCGCCTACACGTCAATACCTTCTATCAGTGCTGGCGAAAATGAGGTCGACCTTACCTGTTTATTATGGTGAAGCAGGTGACCTAACTCTTGGAGGAGGAGGGAAGGAAGGAAGGAGGTAGAGGAGAGGATAAAATAACGAGGAAATGTTTGTCCTAATAATAAAGAGAGTGAGTGAGAAATGAATATACCAAGCTGGCATTATTATTATTGTTATTATCATCATTATTATTATTATTATTATCATTATTATACAGCAGCTGAGTCATAAGCCTTCATTCCTCAAAAATATTCTTCATTTCCTTCTGTATAATTCACTGATTTTCTTTTTCTCTCTCTCTCCCTTCCTTCCTTCCTCCGTTTTATGCTAATTCCTTTGTCCTTTGTCTTATCTTTCACACTGTTAAGAAATAATGAATTATAAGTTGTAGTTATGTATGACTCCTTACATAGAATTATATAAAGTAATAATAATAATAATAATAATAAAAATAATAATAATAATAATAATAATAATAATAATAATAATAATAATAATAATAATAATAATAATCCTGCCAAACATTATGTAAATTTCAGCCACATTATAAAAGGTTAAGGTATGAATTTTACGCCTAAGACCATAAACACTAATATTTTATCTCTCCTGGCGGCTCTTATAGGTGAAAGACAACGAGAGTAGGAGAGAGACTGGGGGAAACTTAAAAGAAAATGAGACTACAGGAGGGGGAGACTTTAAAGAAAATGACAAATAACAGTGGGAAGACTAAATAGAAAATGACAATAAACTAAGAATAAACTTCAAAGATTACGGAAGTAGACAAGGAAAGGACATTAAAGAAAATAATTCTAAACAGAGGGTAAACTTAAAATAAACCAATATATATACGAAATAAAGGGAAACTTAAAAATAAACTATGACACATGGGAAAACTTTAAAGAAAACTATGGTAGATGAAGGGGGGTAACTTGAAAAAAAGTCGACAGTAGATAATACATAGTGATAAATATGAAAATTGAAATAAAAAATAAAGGTGAACTAAAAGAAGAGAGAAAGAAAGATTAAACATGGTGGAAATTGAAAGGATCTCTGCAAGATTACTGAAGGGGCCAAAAGAAAGATCCAATTAAGACGGAAGATAAAAATAAGGAAGATTAGGTGAGAAAGAGAGAGAGAGAGAGAGAAGAAAGAAGAGTGTTATCAAGGAAAACAGACGAAGATAGTGAATTGTTAGAGAGAGGGGGGTGAGGAAGAGAGAGAGAGGAGAGGAAGATAAAGAGGGAGAGGAAGAAGGAGGGAGTGAGGAAGAGAGAAAGAGGAAGATAAAGGGAGAGGAAGAGGTGAGGAAGAGAGAGAGAGGAGAGGAAGATAAAGAGGGAGAGGAAGAAGGAGGGAGTGAGGAAGAGAGAGAGAGAGAGAGAGAAGGATAATTGACATAAAGTAAAGTAAATGGAAAATTGGGTCTGGGAAGGTTATGATAAATCGGAGGGGAAGGAGAGGGAGCAGAATAAACATCTCTTTGTTGTGTCTATCTTTTTGGGGAAGGTAGAGAGAGAGAGAGAGAGTAAGAGGGAAAGAAAGAAAGAGAGAGAGAGGGAGAGACAAGTATGATGATAATGGTGGGAGATGGATGAGGAGTGAGTGGGGATGAGAGAGGTGAATGGAACTTATTAAACACAATGTGAGGGAATGACACACACACACACACACACACACACATACATTTATGCAATTTCCGGGACATGTTGATAAGAATTCGCCCAAGGACAATGGCGACTTATAACGCAAGAGACTATAATATCATTTCTTCCTGTTTTACATGAGTTAAATGAGTCAAAATGGCGTCGAAATTACACCGAGACTCAATTCATATTTTCTTGTGACTTAAAATGTGCAAACTCATCATGAGGGTTGATCTAAGTCAGGGAAAATGGCGTCAAAATCTTACTGAGACTCTTACTCTAGTTAGTTGTGGTCTTTTATCCCCAATTACGAGGAGAAAATGACCGTAAGAGTGGTTGAGGATGGAGGAAGAGGTCACAAGGGTCACAAGGAGAGGGAGAGAAGGTCATGTTTGTGACCTCGTTCATCTGTGCCGTGTTTATCGGAGTGTTAAGATGTTGGCTGTAGTGTGTGTGTGTGTGTGTGTGTGTGTGTGTGTGTGTGTGTGTGTGTGACAGAGAGATAGACAGACAGACATACAGGGATAGCTACACAGACACACAATGAAACAGAGGCTGGCAGCATCAATAACCACCGCCCAACTTATCGTACTGGTAGATGCGTCAAACATTCCATAACAAACACGAAACTATTAATATTATGCAAATCACTAGCGTCTATTATATGATGAACACATTACTATTAACTAGGAATACGTTTTGTTATTGTTTTGATTCTAATTCTACAGCCAACAAAACCCTAAAACAATATCACAGTAGTTAGGTTAGGTTAGGTTAGGTTTGGTTTGGTTAGGTTTGGTTAGGTTAGGTTAGGTTAGGTTTGGTTAGGTTAGGTTTGGTTAGGTTAGGTTAGGTTAGGTACACAGGAAGATAAGACTTGTATACACACCTTCCCACACGAATGAATCATGAGAGTATGGATGCCAGACCGCCAGAGATACTTAGTCTTCATCAGCCTTACTTCAGCCTTTGAACTTTTTAATGTGAAATGATGGTGTGTGTGTGTGTGTGTGTGTGTGTGTGAGAGAGTTTTGGGGAAATTGTTGTGATTTTTCGGGTTTGAATGTTTCTAGATAATGGGTAACCTCTCTCTCTCTCTCTCTCTCTCTCTCTCTCTCTCTCTCTCTCTCTCAGTGGGAAATATTAACATAAGGAGGTCTTTGAGGATCTGTTTCCTGGTTTAATAGTTGTAGTAGTAGCTGTTGTGAATATTGTAGTTGTTGTTTGTTGTTGCCTTGGCTGCTGTAGGGTCACTTGTTTATATATCTATTAATAGTAATGATAGTAATTGCTTGATGTTATTATTATCATCATTAACATCCTCGTCATCATCATCATCATCATCATCATCCTCGTCATCTTTATCATCATCATCTAGTAAATAACACTTTCATTATCCACTAACAGTATTTTTATTATAATTATTTATATATTTTATCCCTTATCTTACCACTAATGATGATACAAAAGTGTGTTAATTAATTACCTGGACTGTATTAATAACATAACACCTTTTAAAAGATAAGAGAGAGTTCAGTACTGATATAACATTACGTACAAACCAAATATAACTTTTTGATGATCTCTTTAACATTACACTTATTTGATTAAGTGTGAATACCTTTAGAAAGTCATAATTAGTATTGTAATTAACGTATATAGGTAACACAGGTAACACAGGTAACAGTATTAGGTATTTGTTGAGGTTGTTTGTACGTGGTGTTATGGTCAGGGTTATGGTGAGGGCTGATTGATTACCTGTTTGTTATTTCCAAGTTACGTTGTGGTGTTTCGTTCTTACAGACACGCACATGCTACCACAATTTTCCCTCAACAACAACCACCTTTCCACCAACCACCACAACCACCATAACTAACCACCGCCACCAACCACCACATCCACCACCGCCACGAACCACCACATCCACCACCACCACCAACCATAACTAACCGGACGTTCTTCATCATTATCTCCCACACAGAGCGGATGCACGGAGATGGGTACCTGTCTTCCCCCGAGCGTTCACCCAGACCTTACGGGGGCAGCGGGTCCTCCTACCTCACCCCTACCCCGAGTTATGAGGATCCTTATTACGGGGGGCAATACGGGTCAAGGTCTGGCTCCGTCACCCCCATCATCGACGAGGAGGCCAGGTGAGGGTGAGAGTGTGGGGACGGGAGGGGTGAGGGGGGAGGGTGGGGTGTGATGAGTGAGGGTGGGGTGTGGGTGTGGGAGAGGGTGTGGTGAGGATGAGAGGAAGGGGAGAGGGTGTGAGAGTCAGTGTGGAAAGTGGATGAGGGTGGGAGAGAGTGTGAAAGTAAAGTGAGAGGTGTGAGAAAAAGGGAGAGGGTGTGGTGTGGGTGTGAGAGGGAAAGGAAATGAGATTGAGGGGAGAGAGAGTGTGAAAGTAGATGGGAGAGGTGGAAAGGGAGAGGCAGTATGGGATCGGCCTGTAAGATTAAACATGGAGAGAGGGAGAGAGAGAGAGAGAGAAATGTTTTCGTACTAGGAGGGGGCTGTGTGTGTGTGTGTGTGTGTGTGTGTGTGTGTGGTAGAAAGTTGTTTGTTTCTGTACTAATGTGATATAAACTAAGGTGTGTTTGTATGCATGTAGATTTCTCAGATTTATGTGTTGAGATAAATTTGCCTGTGTGTGTGTGTTTGTTTGTTTATGGTGCAAAAAAAACTGTTCCCCGCCATTTGCCGCTAATTACCCCCGCTCGGTGATATTTTACCTGGATACATTTCCTGTCCACACAACACTTTGGGTAGTCGAGGTTCTGGGATTGTTCTTTTAATATACTGCTGCTTGATTACTCTCTCTCTCTCTCACACACATAAGAGAGGTCTCGGGGTCCAACTCACGTTTAACACTGAAGAGTGGTTAGTAATCAGTGCTTATAAATAAAATAGATGTACATAACTATCGCCCGTGATGTCAGATATAAAAGAAACAAATGAGTATCGCCCGTGACATCATAGAAGAGAGAAAAAAAACGACTATCGCCCGTGACGTCAGCGAGGGAAACATGTGAGAAGCACTGCGGTAATGGAAGTGTCCCTCAAATATGCAGTCCTCCCCCAGTTTACAATTTGATTATTTACGGGGCGAGACTGCCAGCCACTCAGCCCAGCATCATCATGGCGCGTTGTCTGCTGCCTGCCTCTCAGCCGCATCCGCTACTGTTTTAGTATGCCTGATTTTTCTTTCCTTTTATTTTTCTTTCCGTTCTGGTGCTGATGGTGTTATAGTGTAGTGTTGGTGCTGATATTGGCGCTGTGTGATGCTGTTTGTGGTGTTGGTGAATTTGACGGTGTTTGTGGTATTATTATTATTATTATTATTTATTTTTTATTATTATTCACTTATGATGACGTCTTTCTATATTTGATCGACCTCGGCCAATCATCAGCCGGTGTTCTCAGCCAGCAAGCCAGTGTAAGCGTCTATCTTTACACTCTGATGTACGTACCAGCAGCCACTCACAGCCACAATCAAGTCCTGGTCACGCACGTTTGTTTTGTTTTGTTTTTAATTCCTGGAAAAACACAAGATTACGAAACTTTTGAATGGGAAGAGTTCGAATTCTCAAGAGATTACAGATTGCTACGTAGAAGTTCTCTCTCTCTCTCTCTCTCTCTCTCTCCAAATTTAATACACCTTTTAGTGGCTTACCTGAGCTGCAACACACAATCTTGGCGACCAAAATGGCGTTGCAATTGCGGTGAGACTCTTTAGTAACGAGATGCATTAAGGAGGAAATATTCGGTGTGTGTGTGTGTGTGTGTGTGTGTGTGTGTGTGTGTGTGTGTGTGTGTGCCATACGGGGTAGCAACACGCCTCCATCACCCTCAACTGATCGTAAAAGATAAGATTATTTAGCGTGAAAATCTCTCTCCTAGAAATCTCCTTCCAAAATGTACCAAAACCTTTGAGCCAATGAGCGCGCGGATAATATCAGTAGCCACTCATATCACGACCTCGAGTATTGCCCGCTAAAAAGAAACAGCCAATCACAGTTTTTGTTTGTATAATATATCTCACACAAGGAGATATCGGGAAAGAAATCTAGATGAGAGAGAGAGAGAGAACAGCAGCTGTGTTCCTTGGGTGTAGTAGGTGGAGTCATAATAATGGATGGGGATTTTAAAGTGAGTGGGCGGGAAGAATTAAAGTGATAGGGAATTATGATATGAATGAAGGATTTCTCTCTCTCTCTCTCTCTCTCTCTCTCTCTCTCTCTCTCTCTCTCTCTCTCTCTGCACTACATTGAATACACACTGACAGGATAAACACCCACTATACACCAGCAATTTGCTCTCAATATACACCTAAAATATACACTCAGAACATACACCTACCAGAATATACACCCAGAGAATAAGCACTCACAATATACACTCAGGTAACACACTCAGAACATACACTCAGAATACACACACTCAGAATACACTCCTGGGATACACAGAGGGACTGCAGTCATGTGGAAGATGTGTGCTGATGAATTGTGTCTACAGGAGCGCTTTGGCCTCACTAAGTTGTGTGTGTGTGTGTGTGTGTGTAGGTGGAGAATTTGGTGGTACACATGTAGTCGGACACACACACACACACACCAAACGTCTCCTTACAACTTTCTTCACTTTCTTGGGAGAATATAAGTTTAAAAGAAAGAAAGTGAGAGTTAAAGAAAGTGAGAGTTAAAGAGAGTAAGAGTTAGCGAGAGTGAGTGTGCTACAATACTCTCTCTTCACAAGTCTTGGCGAAAACTTGAACAAAGGTAATGGGGAGTTGAGTGTGGTGAGTGGGAGTTGAGTGTGGTGAGTGGGAGTTGAGTGTGGTGAGTGGGAGTTGAGTGTGGTGAGTGGGAGTTGAGTGTGGTGAGTGGGAGTTGAGTGTGGTGAGTGGGAGTTGAGTGTGGTGAGTGAGTGGTGGGAGTTGAGTGTGGTGAGTGGGAGTTGAGTGTGGTGAGTGGGAGTTGAGTGTGGTGAGTGGGAGTTGAGTGTGGTGAGTGGGAGTTGAGTGTGGTGAGTGGGAGTTGAGTGTGGTGAGTGGGAGTTGAGTGTGGTGTGTGGGAGTTGAGTGTGGTAATGGGGAGTTGAGTGTGGTGAGTGGGGATGAGTATGAAAGGTGTGAGAGGGAGTGTTTGAGAGGTGAGAGAAGAGGTACAGTAATTCAGGTGTGAGAGAGGGACCTGAACTTATCACCCTAATGAAGGTCACTCCCTAAGTGCTTTCACACACACACACACACACACACACACACAACTTTCCATCTGACTGTAAAACTGGGTATTGTTTTTAAGGAAATAATTTAACTGGCGAAGGAATCTCATTGGGTATTTGTATCGTATCGTAAAGGACCCAGTTAGACAGTTATTTTCCGTTAGACAGTTATTTTCCGTTAGACAGTTATTTTCAGTTAGACAGTTTGGAGTTAGACAATTATTTTCCGTTAGACAGTTATTTTCAGTTAGACAGTTATTTTCAGTTAGACAGTTATTTTCAGTTAGACAGTTATTTTCAATTAGACAGTTATCTATAGTTTGAAAGTTATCCCCAGTTTGACAGTCATATCTCCAGTTAGTTGGGGGGGGGGGGATTTACTTACAAACCTTTGAGAATCCATCGTTGTGTGGTAGCTTAGGTGAGACAGACAGTCAGATACGTCCTCACATCACCAGTTTGTGGGAAAATCGAACACAAGGTCCTTTGAGAATCCCGACTACAGCTTTCCAAAGAGATTCTGTGAAAATCCTCCGTTTTGCTTTTCACTTTTACGTGGCCTATGTAAGCTCCGAGAAAAAAAGAGCTCAGGGGAGGCTTCTTGTGTTCCTTTAGAGCTCTGTCTGATGTTTGGGTGTTCAAAGAGTATCGTGGAGCTTAACTTTCAGAATTTCGAATCCTGTTTGAATGTTTGGGCTCTTGAATGGGGTCTTAGAAATACATCTTCGTGGAGCTTAACGTTTATTTAGAGCCCTGTTTGAGTATTTGGCCTGTTAGGAATAGAGCTGTGTATGACTTCTCACCCTTTAGAGCCCCGGAAGAGCACAACAAATTAGAAAAAAATGGAAAAAAGTAAAAAAAAAAAAAAATTCACTTGACCACTGGCGGGTTCCCAGGTACAAAGAGGCTGGCGAAGCTTAGAGTTCATTTAGAGCCTTGGAGAGCTGCGACCGGGTGATGGCGCTGTGGTGACAAAGGAGGTGGTGGCGAGACTAAGCTGCCACTAAGCTTGGAGGAGTTCACGGCTACCTGGTGATATTGGTGCTTGGCCTGGCGATGTTGTGTGTGTGTGTGTGTGTGTGTGTGTCCGGATATGTTGTTAATGCAGTAATTCTAACAGCTATTAATATATTTCGATGGAACTAGGCCTCACCACCCTCGCTCACACCTCTGAGTAATAAGAGAGATTTATTTCCAGAGTAAATGTTTGTGTGTATTAAATGGTAGAAACACAGTAGATGTAAACTGGCGGGAGACAACAGTAGCTGTAGACGTAGAAAGTGTGCTCAATTAACCTCACTTGTACCCCACTTCAGGTCACCGCTTTACAGCTTGGGGGTGAAGGAGGAACAGTAGCTAATACATGTAGGTAGTAGATGTAGTGATAACATGGCTGGCCTCTCCGGCAGGTCGGCCTTCTACAGCATGCGTGTGGAGCAGATGGAGCGTCAGCTGGCGTCATTGACGGGTCTGGTACAGAAGGCACTACACACGGGGGTGGCCAGCTCCCCCAGGCCAGAGATCATCCCCCTGGCCCCTCCTCCTGCCGTAGTGGCCGCCGCCGCCGCCGCCGCTGCCGCCGCCGCTCAGGCCTCTTCCAACACCGAGAGGGACGGGGCCCCGCCCCCGCCCAACAGGGCCACCAACGACTTCCTCCAGGTTCCTACCAGCTCCTCCTTCTCCAAGAGCTCAGGTGAGTGTAGGTGATGAGTTGTGTCCATCCCACCACTACAGCAACGCAGTGTAGGTGCCAGGTGCCTACCCCATCCCTCCCCCACTACCTGTCTATCTCCCACGCCAAGACCCAGATCCTCAAAGACTCGTACTTCTTTTTCCCCAGATTAGGGATAAAGTATTTCATCTATGGTAGTCTCTTTGTTGATTGTCTTCTTTTTTTTTATCTCACCAAAAAGGGAAACTTTGAGGCTGCGAGTCTTTGAGTGGGGGCCCCCAGGTCTTGTCCACCAGACTCCCTGCGTCACCCGGTTACTGATGCCACATGAGCTGCTCGCTGATTGGTTGGCCAGAACTTAGTTGTTGACCAATCATCGGACGAGTTATAATTGATGTCGTGGGAAACGCGCGTTCATCGGTCAGATTTTTAATACTTTCGACCATTTACCGGGCGATTATCTTCCTAAGTCTGTGTCCAACAAGCTCGTTGAGGAGTTAACAGTAAATCTCAAGACATTGGTGGATGACTAGATACCTAACACCATAATTACTCGCTGATTGGTCAGACATATCAGTCGTTGAACAGGAAGTTTTGATTGGTAAACATCTTAAACGATCGTTGAATGGCCATTTATGATTAGATCGCTTTTAGTTGACTTTTGAATATGGAAATACACCTCGGCGGAACAGTTTACTAACACGTACACAAACACACACACAAGACTTCCTCCCCGTGGCGGCTAGAGGTCTCAGAGATCAGTACCATGAACACCTCCTTCCATAATGATGCATCTTATAGTCATTCTGTTACTTAAGGCACTTCGCCAGTGTATCAAGACTCTATAACACAAACACAACTTTAAGTAGAGTTAAAATCATTTATAAGAAAACCACAACTTCATGACTTATACGGTGAAGGATGGAAGCCTTAACTCGTGGATGTGTGTTGTCGACTTTGGTGAAATGTTTAAGTTGATACCGTCCACTCGTGATATATTATCGTTTTAGCCTACATGTGGTGTATGAGTCTTTGGTGATAGGAGAGAAATATTAAGCGTCTAAAACACCCGCCAGAGGAACCTTCGACAGGATTGATACATTGTCGTCTTATTTATATCAACAACAAATGATCACAAATCATAGTTTCGGTTTTAAAAGTAAATATTATAAGTTTAAAATATTCCTGACGTACCTGGGAGGACAGAGCAGTATCAGGGAGTAATAAGAGGCGTCATTATCTAATACAGTTTCAATGGTCCGTGATTTGACCTCAGAGTGTTGCCTTAAAACCGTCAGCCAGGGGATGAGTGTGGCAAGAGTTGTGTTATATAAGGGGAAAACTTTTGTGTCTACACGCGTTTTGATGTTTAGTAATCGCTTGAAATCGACCCACCCTATTGGTCAGCTTCATCACTCTTTCTGCGAGGGGGTTACTTAAGGCAGTCACTGATTGGTTAGGTGGCCAAAGTCCCTCTCAACTGACCAATCAGCTCGGGTTCTCTACGGCCAATAATCGGGTGACATGGCGTTTACGTGTTTGGGAAGTCAATTTTCCCGACAGTGTGTTTATAAAGTCCCTTGATGTTTGTGTTGACAGTGTGCCAAGTGGAAGTTATACACTCAAAACATAGATCTGTGTTGCATCATTTTCGGCACACGAGTCTTTCTTCACCGTGTCTGCTGTAAATTGGACTTGCATACGGAATTGTAAAGAGCGCATCATGTCCGTCCGTGGTGTTCCCTGCACGTCTGAGAGCACAGTGAGGGCGTGGAGGATACAGTGGTGTGTAGTGAACGATGGTGTACAGTACAGACCTATGTGTAGCCTCGAGGTACCCTGTACACCCCAACACCAACGGACTTATAAACACACTGTACATGAACACACAAGGATATATACAGCTTAGTGTGTTACTGTACTCATGTCTCTGTGTGTGTGAAAATACATCAATTTTCCACACTAGTATGTCTGTCATGTATGTATGTATATGTACGCTGTCTTTATATATATCGGCGACGGTGTATGTATGTGTATTTGCATGCCATGTGGGTTGGTTAAGTAATGAAGTGTGTATGCGTCTGTGTGTGTGTGTGTGTGTGTGTGCGTCAAAGACATCTTCAGACGTGTTATGTGTACTGTGGGTAATATATGTTATAATTTACACACATGTCCTCTCCTGTTAGTACACACAGTCTGTAGCTTATTGTGCTGTGTTCAGGCTCAAGACCACACCTCCAGATTCTCAGAGTATTTAGTAATAATTTTTCCTGTTTTGGTCGAGGATCACAGACTGCCTCTGTTCACAACGCTACTCTCGGTACAAATTTGACACCAATATCTATCTCCTTGTATTGTTATCTGTCATTTTGATAGTCTAGGTGCAGTTTAGACGCCATTTTGGGTGCCTACAGTGTAAAATCTGACACCATATTGGCAGATGCAATGCAATTCTGACACCATTTTTATGCTTGCAGTGCACTCCTGACACCATTTTAAGCTGACTCACCACGCACCTGGCACAACTTTTAGCTGACAAATTTGTACCGTAGAGCGAGCGTGGCAGATGTGTCCTCACGTCTGTCTGTCTGACGGGGAAAATTAATCCACCATCCATTTCATGTACTTATTTATTTTTATTTATTTTTATATATTTTTTGAGAATCCGGAGGCAGTGTGGAGGGTGTTGCTGTGGGTGTAGTAGGCTCCGTGTATGTGGTGTGAAGGTGTACTGTGATCACTACACCTGCCGTAGCTGGGACCTATACTCCCCTGGGTGTAGGTCCCACTGTGTCACCAAGTGTATGTACCTTAACCTCATTCGCGAAGGTCATCATTGGACAACTCGTTGTCGGAAATTCGCTAACTGGTAACTGCACAGTCGTATACACTTGTCATGACTGTTTTTACCTGACACGTATGACTGCATGTGACCATGTACGTATATCATGACTGTTTCTGCCATTTGTAACTACACGTCATGTATGTCTGTGTCTGTTATCTTTATGTGACAAGTGTACACATGACTGACAAATACATGTGACTAGTGTACACATGTCAAGACTGTTCCTACATAAGACGAATAAACGTATGAGTTTTTGACACGTGTGACTGTACAGTATATAGCTGATGTACACATGAACCAACTCTGGAAGGTATTACTGTATGTGACCAAAATGCACACGTCGTGACTGTTTGACATATTGTACACATGTCATTTTTATACGACATACACGTACACACATGTCACGATAGAAATAGAATAGTATGTGAGCATTTCATGACGCGCGTGTGTGTGTGTGTGTGTGTGTGTGTGCAGTGACCAAAATACAGACATGTTTAACTGTCCTGACAACATACGGTACGTGGACACATATCTCATGACTAAACCTTAACACATAATCACGTGTCATGACAAGACATATGAACCTGTGTCATGACTAAATATGACATGTCTGAACGCTTCAAGTATCACAAACTATAAATAAACGCCAAAGGAAAACATAAACGCCAAAATATATTTCATGACGTCATACAGAAATTCGCTCATTGGCTGATTACAATACAGCTCAACCAACCAGAATACGCAGTGGCTGTGACGTCATTAGTAGTTGCTAGATACTGCTATTGCTCAACGATAAATTTTGGAATATAAGGAGCATTATCATTTATTCGCGTCATTATTTATTTATTTATTTATAATTATTTTTGTTTACAAGTTAACCAAGTATTACTATAACCATAACAGTATAAAGAATCATAAAGCAGTTTTAGGGAGACTGTTAATGCAGAGTGGAAATAAACTGTGTTGGGATGGTAACACATGTTAAATTATATATGAATTTTGAGTGAGTGTGTGTGTGTGTGTGTGTGTGTGTGTGTGTGGTGCTTATATTGTGTATGTATTTTTTATGGATGTATATTTAATGCATGGATGTATATATGTATGAAAGTTTTTTCTAGTTAGATATGTTGAAACAATTTAATTTATAGGTTTGGGTGTTTTTATATATATTTTTTGTTTGCGTGTGTATGTATTAACGTATGTATCTATGTATGAAAGCTCTTACTTGTGAAGGTATCAGCCAAACATATATATTGAGGGTAAGTGAATCGTAGGCTCCAATAACCCTTTAACTTTAAGTCTTTCTGGCTCATCCCCCTCACCCTACCCCCCCTCACCCTACCCCCCTTACCCTCCCCCTCACCCTATACCCCCCCTCACCCTCCCCCTCCCACCTCAGAGTATGCAGGCAGCGTGGCGGGCTCATATGACAAGGCCATATCAACTTTAACCTTGCCAGCAAACTTCTGAACGGCAACATCTGAACGGCCGGGAAAGAAGGAGTGAAGTTGGCGGGAGAATTTTTTCCTTCTCTGCGCCGAGGTGGTCTCCTATTGGCCGGGAGCCATTGTTTACATTTACCATCAGGGGAAATTCTTCGGCCAATCACGAACCTTCTTGCAGTCTTTTCTTTTGTTTTCTTTTGTTTTCTTTTGTTTTTCTTCCCAAAGTGTTTATAAGTGCATGGATATAAACTCCAGAATTAATGTTAAATAAAAGCCCCCCAACTTGTGGTAGATGATAGACTAGCTGGCCATGGCAGAGTAGAGGCGCACACCATCACCAAAACGTAACACTAACGACAATAGTTACGTCTGACCCTCTACCGTAATTAGAATATAGTATTAATTTAAATAATGAAACCATATTTTTTTTAGGAGTGTTTTATGATATTATCCACATATTAAAAATTTCTAAAATTCAGTTGGATGAGGAAAGTGTGTTTACGACTTCCCTCACCCACCTGAATTTTGTTAATATTAGTTTGTGTATAAAAAGATCAGGTTTAATTAGGAAATAACACTGTAATATGTCCTCCTTTCCTCTGAGAGTTCAGGGTGTGAGAGCTCGGGCGTGAGTTTCAACGCTGAACGATGACAATGGAGCACACACACACACACACACACACACACACTGCTCCTGAATAGTGTTTCTGTCGTGAGAACAACTTAAAACT